AACACTGCAAATTCCATATTCAAATTTTGTACTATTTCGATTGATCATGTTTGAGAGAGCACAAAAGGTGTGTATCAAACTGTACCATCGGCCAGTTGATTCTGACATATAGAGAGCCTACAGAGAGAGTAGAGCTGAGGTTGGATTTCCATTGCTGCCCATGTTTAAGGGAGCAGCGAACCTTACTGGTCTTCCCTAGAACAGCTGGCAGGTTGGAACTGCAGAAATGTGTATCTTTCTAAGACTTGCATAAGCAGACAATGTCTATTTCAAAAAGTTCATGCAAAACAAACCAACCGGTATCTTTTAATTCCACTTTCCTTCAAACTTCTTAAAGCCCTTTTATATATTTTATTAAAAATTTAAAAACCAGGCAGGTGATGCACTTCCAACGTGGATAAACTTGAGTTGAAAGGGACTGGGATTTTAGGAGCCAGGGGTGAGTAGCATGTGCGCATTGGTGGCAGCACTGGGAAGTCCCCACTCCTCCAGGAGGCAGCAGGACAAGTCAGGGTGTCCCGGGACTAACACCACAGAGAGAAGCTCTTCTCAGTGAGTAGTGACAAGGGCCCTGCACACCGAATGGGTGTTTGACTAACCCGTTTAACGTGATATTATTCGAGGGTGACTCCAACTCCATATGAGTGGCTTTATTTTATTTTAGTTCTATTGATCGAGTTACCAAAAAACCCCTAGAAAATGAAAACTGAAATGAAATTCCACAATGTAGGGGAAGAAGGGAGGTGTTTTTCTATGATTCGTGTTACAAACCAATGGTGTGGACTGATTGTAATGCATCTTCACTCCTTAATCCTGGAAAGTATACATCTGATTTATTATTGTGTCTCTATTGGGGGAATAATCATCAACATTTTAGAAAAACTGACGCCTGCTTGTGTTCACCTCTTTAAACACTTTCTATTGAATCATTGATGTTCAGTAGGATGAGGATGACATAAGCTAGTTCACCAGAGACTCTTTCTCTAGATTTTCCTTTGAGGTCCTGATTATTTCTCCTAATAGTTTTCTGAAAATAAGGTACTTTGGATCTAACATCTCTTTGGGATATATTTTCACAGGGATGTGACATTCTAAGCACCCACTTCATAAGTCACAGGGACCCACATTTGCTACCAATCTATTCTTTTCCATACACTGACTTCCCTTACCATTTTATTTAAAATTGGTTGCAAATGAGGATATTATAGGTATAGCAGCATTATTTTTTATTTTATATTATTATTTTAATTGCATGCACTTAAATGATTAAGCCCCTTCTATGTCTGCTGTGATGTTGGTGTCAAGTGACTTCATATTGAAAGTGATTTTAAAATTACATTTTGATTATTTAAAAAGCTGAGCAAATGTGACACGGATGTTCTGTACGTTCTCTATAACACAACCTCCATGCAACAATCCTTATGCTGCTGATATGCTTAAGGAACGATTTACAACTGGAATGTAACCATCTATATAGATGTATATATGTATAAGAGTGCATGTGTGTGTATATACATTATATATATATCTAATAAAATCATCAAAACTGATTCTGCTGGATAGAACTTGATACTTGGTCAGTAGTCTTCCCCAAAGGCACATCCTGAATTTGTTCTGGGGGCAAGTATCTCTTACATTTTCCCTGACAAAAACTTCTTCCCTGGCTTGGGAATGTTGCTGGGTGTCTTCTCCCTCTCATGGATTATTTGTATTGTTGCCTTTATACTCATGTATCTTCTCCTGTCCACCTTAGTAAGATTTGTTTTTCATTGTGTTCTGTGGGTTCTCCAAGCTGTGAAGCACAGGAGGAGTACATGTACCATGATAATAACTGATACGAGGCATTACAGGGAATGTAAGGGCGGGGGAGGGGAGTTTGGGAGTCAATAATGAAAGTGGGAGGAGCGAGGGAGCACTGAGCTATGATTGCATAGCTCACTCTGGGGAATAATCAGCCATGGGGGGAGGGAATGCCCCATGATGGATGTGGTAGTGATTGTACAATTCCCCTAGATATGTTTGGATGATTGGAATATTCAATTCTATGACATGTAAATTATGTGCCAATAAAATGGTTGTTAAGTAAAAACAACAACCTGAACTTCAGTCATCTTGGTTTCTGTATATAGATAAAATAGAATTTTTTTCTGAAAGGTTCACTAATCTTAAATAGATAAAGAGGTTCAAGAAGTTAGTGGTGGTGAGTGGGTGGGAGAGATTTAAAGACAACGGCATTTTTTCTTGAACTTTTGGATGCTGCTTGTCTATGTTTTTAAGTAAGTTTAAAATATCCACGTTTCCCAATATTTAATTTTTTTGGTAAAGAATAAATTGTCCCGGTACAAATGTGTGTGCATTTTACATTTTATAATTATGAGTCTTGAGTCTGGAATATCGGAAATGTGTACTGAATGTACCATATTATTAGTACTGTCAAATAAGTGTTGGATTATCAGAGGTTGGATTATCAGAGGTAAGTGTTGGATTATCAAGTAATTGTTGGATTATCAAGTAAATGTTTGATTATCAGAGGTCAAGAAATTATCAAGTAAGTGTTGGATTATAAAGAGGCCAAGAAAACAGGTTCAAGCCCAACAGCCAGTCCTTGGGAGAAAGACCAGGCTATCTGCTATGGTTAAAATGTATAGCCTTAGAAATCCCCTATAGGGATTCTATGAATAATAATTGACAGGTTAATAGTGGATTTGGTTTTAGGCTTATGATAATTATTTGGTTAAAATTGAACATTTTGATAAACTAGAGCTAAATATAATCCCATATAGCATATTTTATGTAGCACTCATTGTTCTAATTTATACCTTGGTTATTAACCCGATGTTCTGAATTATGTCAAGGAACCCCTGAAGACATTTGAAAATGTTCTTAATACGTTTGAAAGCCAATTGAACTACAATAATACACATGGAAACATCATAATCATCATACTGCTTAATATCCAAATGGTACTGTTAAAATAAAAAGTACAGGGCATTATACAGTTTCTCAAAATGCTCACCTTGATTCTGTCTGCATAGCTACCTTCTACTCCTATTCAAAATCGAAGAAGATTTGCTCACAAAGAGGAAAATTGCCACAATTATGAAAGATTTAGTGAATTTGTATTCGTATGAATTGCTCCAATAAACCTCAACAATGTCTATGTTTTTCTGTACGTATATTTTGAAGGAAACTGTGCCTGCTCCTCTCAAATCTCAGAAACCTTATGTTGCAGCTCCTGTTATTCTTGTTAAGCCACAAGAGCGGGCAGGTGCTGTAGGCTTGGCTGGTGCTGAGTTAAGTTCAACAATGTCGTTGGTCAAAGTAGCAATGCTCACATATGTGCTAATGACATTGAGATTCTGCTAGGTTGGTTCAGAAAGTCTCCCGCCCACAGGAATGGAGTCTTCTGGTTCATTTTCAGTTTGTGGTTATTCAGCAGATGCAGCCCCAGAATCTGTTCTACTGGATAGTAACAGTTTCACTAAATCCCAACACCCTACCAGGCACTCAAAGAGGCTTAGTGGCACAGTGTCTGCTCAGCTGCTAATGCAAAGGCCATCGGTTCAAACCCTTCCAGGTCTCTACAGGCAAAAAGATGTGCTAATCTGCTTCCTGATAGATTAAACCACTAGAAATCCTATGGCAAAGTTCTACTCAACATAATGGAGTCTTTGTAAACTGGCTCAATGGCAAAGGGGTTGGCAGTGTTTGTTTGTTTTAAAGGATACACATAACACCCATCTTTGCAACCCAACTGCCCCCACTTCAGTAGTTGTGCTGCATTAATGTCCGACTGAATGAAATACTTGTTATTGAAAAAAAATAAATCAAATTGGTTCTAAAAGTTTCCTGAGTTACCATGAAACTTCAATTATTATTTTAAGTAATCTCCCTTGAACACTAAATCCAACTGGTCTGGGCTACAATTCTACTTTTCTACGTTTATTTCTTTCTTTTTAAAAAAATCATGTTTATATTACATATTGCCTGGCAAATATTCCAAAGCTATCATAATAAAAATTTTAAGGCAGAAATTTTTATTTGTTTTAAATAAAGTATTTACTAAATATGCTTTAAGTGGCTTTTTTTCTTTTCTTTTTTCCAATCAAGGAACAATGTCAAAGACTGCTGAGTAAAATAGTCATTTTTATTTTATATACCTTAAATTGGTTGTCAGTGTAGCATGGTTATGAATTCACCACAATTTTTCATGCAGTAGGTGTTCAAGGAAATTATAATGAGATTAATGGTGGCATGTAAATGGATATTTGCTGGCACAAACATTCTTACAGCAACCACACAGACAAACCTATTCCCAAGTTCACCTGCATAGCCACTATCCATCTTCACAACACAAATATCTTGTCTATAGAGTGAACCGTACCTTGATTTGAGCTGAATAAAAAAGCCTACGTTAATCACAGGTCAGTCAGTATCTGGGGGATTTTGGGTTTAACTTCATGGATTGAAATAAATTCATTGTTTTCCATATAAAGTACAACCCAAAGCCACCGTCATTGAGTTGATCCTGATTCACAACAACCCTCTATAGAAAGTTTCTGAGACTATAAATCTTTACAGGAACACACACTTTCATTTTTTCTTCCAAAGAGTGGCTAATGCGTGTAAACCACTCACCTTGTATGTAGAAGTGCAATGCCTAACTCCCAGTGGGCCTCAAAATATTCATGGAATAACAGAATTAAAAGATAATGGAAGTAGTCCTATAATCTGGAAAGGAAACGGAAGACCATAGTATGTTTTTGAAGATGGTGAGAGACCGCTCTCCTCGGAAAATCCCAAATTCTCCATGTCAAACAAGGCAAGAGGCTGCAGTCACAGCTTTAGGAACAGGGGATTAAGACCTGGCAAAGATCCCCCTTGGTGAGAACTCGCTACACTTGATATTTCTCTCAGCATGGAGGAGGATTTCAATTTAGGAACAACTGCCTGGGATCAGACCCCAGCCTGCAGACCGTCCCAGCATGCTCTACACTTACCCACAGGGGACATCTCGGGCACCCCTGCAGTGTACGGCCCATCCAGGAATTTGGGTTCGTTGTCGTTGATGTCCTGGATCTTGATGACAAACTCCGACTCGGGCTCCACTGGCTTGCTGGTGAGCCGGTCCAGCGCTTGCGCGCGCAGCGTATAGTAGGCCTGCTCCTCGCGGTCCAGCCTCTTGGTGGCATGGATATCCCCAGTGTTCTCATCAATAATGAAAATGGAACTCGCCCCTTCACCGGACAAGATGTATTTGATGGACCCGTCTCCTTTATCAACATCCGAGTGCAGCTGGTGAAAAATACACGCGACATGAGATTAATTTATAAGAGAAATGCCGTTATGGAAATAGGCAAAAATAATTGCTATGTCAGGCAGCAGGACACGAGATGTGATTGTTCTTGGGAAGATAAGCTGAGTGCTTATTACACAGAGAGGGAAGGACATTAGAATGTGTCAGTTTCTACTGTGCGCAAGACAATTTCACTACTTCCTGTAAACAGCCTCATTTCTAAGGGTGTTTGTTTAATATCCTCAAAAGTTAGAATCTTACGGTATTCTTATTTTTGACGTGGGCTTTCCTTGGGAACGCTCTCGCCATCGTCTCTTGTGCAGAACAGACCTGGAAGAAGCACGCATCATTGGTGGGCTGACTGAGGCCAAGCTAGGGGACTGGGTGTGGAACATCTGTAAATTCAGATCTAATGTATCATTGGGTATGCTCAGCAGGCTGCACGTTCTGGAAGGGCACGCTGGCCTCCCATCTCACCCCACTCCCACTCGTGGGCCAGTTCCTTGATTAGCAAGTATGGAGGGATGTCAGAGCACTAAATCAGCCTCTGAAGATTGCTCAGTATTTTACAATTTTTGGCTGCAAAAATTATTCGGTTATGTGAAGAAGGAATTTTAAATCACTGTGTGCCTGAGACTTCAGCGAAAACCTTTCCTGAAATACCAAGACCTGCATTTGATTTGCATGAACAAGCTGCGTCTGCTGCAGCAGGGGCAGCACCTACTGATTTGCATTTCCTGTCTGGACTGGTCCCTGTTGGTGTCAGAACACCTTGTTGAACAGAGGAACCTGAGGAAACTAAGAAATAATTACACATTTTCCTGAACTCCGTGACCTGAGAAGTACACTACTCACTCTGTCATTTCCAAGGTATTTCACTCCTTACAACTCACACCGGGCAGGGTTTGACGAACACAGCACGGAGGTTGAAGCCCAATGTACCAACAGCAGAGCTTTCCACTGACTGCTCTACAGCCCTGTGCCTCCTTTAAACAACAAAGTGCTAAAAAATATGGAAATCAAACAAGGCTGTTTTGGAAATGGTGAGCCCACCACCTCTGAGCCTTCAGTGGATGGCTGTTTTGCACCTTTAGCTTCTCCCAGGGATCCTTCCATGGCACGCTGAGAGGTGAGTTTATGCTCTGCGAAACAGAACATAGAACGACCTACTCACCATAATGCTTTGGTTTCCATAATTTATGAGTCAGACACAAACTGAACCACACTTGCATCTGTAGGATGAGTTACAGCTGAGATGGGCTCAGTGTGAGGGGCCATTGTGGGGTCACTGGGGCACTTGACTACCTGGTACCTGGGGAAAATATCTGCTAGAAATAGTGTGAATAACCTAATTTTCTTTTCTTTTCTTTTTTTTAATTTTCTTAACTCATCTCTGGATTCAGATGACATATCTGCTGTTGTTGTTTCATGTCATCGGGTCTGTTTTTGATTCAGTGGCCTTCGGAGGACTCACGACAATGGCCCCCAAGAGAGATCTAGGCTGTAGTCATTACAGGAGCAGGTGGTCTGGTCTGTCCTGGGCACAGCACCTTGGGGATGCGGACTGCTATTATTAACCACTGGTTACCTCCAAAGGTCCTTAGACATAGATCTCTCTTTCTCATTCAAGAAGGGAAGAAACTAAAAATCATTATAAAAATCTAAAGTCAAATCCACGGCTGCCAAGTTGCCTTGGACTTTCAGTAAAACAGAGTAGAATTTCTTCATAAGGTTTCCAAGACTGTAAATCTTTACACAAGTCGACTGCCAATCATTCTCTCTCAGAGTGGCTAATGGGTTCAAACCACTAACCAAAGTGCTTTGCCCTCTGTGTCACTAGGGTTCCTTGATAATTCTGAGAGTGTGCATTCTTGAGAGCATCCTATGGACCAGGCTACTGCATATTATCTCTGTCCACATTCTCTAGCTCCCATAGGGCCCTTATGCACACAAGAAGCAGATTAGGCCTGGTTCCCATGCCTGAGAGCCCGCCAGCCTGCCGGCAGCTCTCCAGACAGGGCTGGGACATTGGAGGGCAGGCTGTTGTGGTGGCCCTTCTCCACTCCCTGCCCATGGTCCTGTGATTGGAGGGGGCCTGTTGTCCTATGAGGCAGCAATTAAATGTTCTTGAATCCTATGAGGTACCTGCACTTGAATCCTCTGGGGGACTCAGAGTGTAGGGGCATTGGTCTGCATCACGCTGTTGTGAGGACCTGCTCTTAAACATGTGCCCAAACTCCCGAAAAACTGAACAACACCAGGGGTGTGGACCCTGAAGAAAACTACTAACTTTCCTTAATGATCGGTAATGGTTCAGCAATTGCATCAAATGCCCCACACTAATGCCAGCCGTTAGAGACGGAAATGGCATACAGGGTGGGGGCTCTGGCTAAGAACTCTTGGCACTCTGGGCTCCATTTTCCTGTCCACCTCAGAGTGCTGCTTTCAAACACAGAGTGTACAAATTAAAAAATAGTAACAAGAAAGTACTAGACATTCGAATCACCGCATGCATATATGAAGTTCAACTGAAGCACACACATATATTAAGACCTCAGAGAGGGTAGAGTACATGAAACCAGCCCCCACCTGACTACACCCCAAATGACCGGGAGCTCAGTGCTTCCTGGGAGGTTTCCTCCCGGCACGTGATGATTTCCCTGCTTAGACTCTGATACACTCAACCCCACAGAACAAGAGCTGAGAGCAGGGACAAGTGCAGATCATAGATAGACCTAAGCTGTCTTTTAGCGACCACTCCTCCCATTCTTTTCCACACCCACTTCTCCCCGACATTCTCCTCCCCATTCCCCACCATTCTTGTGCTCAAAGAGCTGGCCCTTCCTGATGGACTAATGTCTACATGTCTCTGCTAACAGAGTGGCAACCAACTCACAGTCATCAGGCTGAGTCTGACTCACAGTGACCCTGTAGAACAGGGGAAAACTTCCCCTGTGCGTTTCCAAGACTGTTTAACCCTTTACAAGATGAAAACGCCTCATCGAACTTCTGACCTTTGATGCCATCAGCCTAACCCACTATACCACCACAGCTCCTCAACTGGGTCAAGGGGGGATCAAGAAAGATCCTGATGACCAGAAAATTAATACAGGTAGCCTTCAGTCATGTCTTTAACCAAGGGGTTGCTACTTCTCACAATCACAATCAGGACTCCTCCTTACAGAGACAGCGTTCATGATTCATTTCAGGAAGTCCCGTCCCCAGATTCTTATCTTCATAAAATGGTGACACCATGTCTCTGTGAAGTTCCAGTTATCTGAGAGGGGATCAATGCTTTTTCAGTACATGAAACCCCACCCCCCGTCAGTCTCCCCAGAATCCTGCCATTGAGTCGAAATCTGAATCAAAATGTGCACTTCCACTTGAGCTCTGAGACTTTATCTTACATTATAGTGCTGCTCATTGCTTTCCATTACTGAGGTCAATGGTGAAGAGTTCATATTGCTGGTTTCTTCTGCAAACATTCAGGGATCAAGTTCCTTCCGTTCTTATACACACACACACATTCATTCTCAGGCATACTGAACCCTCATATCCTCCTCATCACTAACAATTTCCTCCCAGCTGGGACCATCACTAAGCTTGTAATCACGGCCAAAATTCACAAGCAGAAAATTGCTTTGCGTCTAAGCTCGGTGTCCTTGCAAGGTTAGTGTAAGCATCTGCAGTTAAAAGTGGATGACCAGCTTTGAACTGCTAAGATGGATTCATGTTATCAGACGAAGGCAGACATTTAATCTGTGAGACTATGCTCACGACAATCCTCTTCAGAAATGGAGTGAGACCCATACTCCCAGGGCCACTCGGCTCGTCCCTGGGTTCAGCTGGGGGGAGAGAGGTTGCAAGTGTGGAGCTACGGAGTAATACTACCAATACATAGGCGCACGCACACACTACACACACACACACACACACACACACACCACATACATTTTCTGAATAACAAGAGAAAGATCCTAAATATGGGGCAATGTTCAGCTCTTCATAGAAAACAACTTATGACCATGTCAAACAACACCACTCTATGGTCTTGCAATATAATAAATAAATGATGCCTGAAAAGAAAGCATCCAAAGCAAGTCTTTATGCTCTATTTTGACAGAGAAGAACTCCAAAAGTTAGGCTGATTTCACTTGCAAAGAGTCCAAAAAACCAAAAACAAAGCAATAATAACAACAAAATAATTGAATTCATTAATCACCAGAGAGCCCTCTGCTTTACTGCCTAGGTTCCTAAATAGTTTCCAAAGTATTTGTCACGACCATGGTCCAAGGGGACATCTAGACCAATTGGAAAAACACTTCATAAAGATAATGTTCTACATCCTAATTCAATAAGGAGTGTCTGGGTTATTGCAAGGTTGCAAGTGGCCATCTAAGAAGCAACTACTATTGGGCTCCCTGCCTGGAGTAGAGGAGACTACAGAAGATTGAAGACTCAGGAAAGCAATTAGACTAATTGCTGACTAATAACTATTTGCAAGTGTAATAAGCATAATGTTTGGAGTTCTTCTCTGCCCCAATCAAATAAAATACTAACCTGAGACCTGAAGAGCTAGATGGTGCCCATTATTGTCCACACTGACTAAAACTCTAATAGAAGCTGCCCTGTTAGAACAGGTAAAAAATGCAGAACAATGATCTAATTTTTTTTTTTATTTGTAAAGACCAGATCTGAAAGAGAATCGAGGGACTCCATAATTATCGTCACCTACGTCAGCCTACTAACTTGACCTGAGGCGCATCTAGAGTCAGCCTTTTAGATGAGTAACAGAAGTGCCTATAAAATGAACACTAACCCCATGAAGAAGATGCTCCTTAGAACACTCGACTCGCCGCCATCAAAAGGGCAGGGTTTTCCCAGACCAACGAAGACAAGATGAGGACGGAAAGGGAAACTAGAGGATGGACAGTGGGACCGCTGCTGAGTGCCCAGTCCTTGTAAGAGCTGCAGCCAGCATCAGGGAACAGGGTGTGGA